ATTTTCAGGAAGGAAAGGGGAACTGAATTTTGATATTTGGGGAAGAGCACATTAGGTTTGTGTTCTCATTCCATGTTTATTTTAAATATTGTGAAGTATTAGAATGAAAGTCAGTTTTATTTGAAGAAACTTTTCTTTTTTTACCAGTCTGTCTTCATGAAAGTGGGGAGTGGTTTAGACTGTTGAATGTGCTCAAGTATGTAAGTGCTCTAGGCTAGCACAAAGCTTACTGTGAGATGGAGAAAAAGATGTGGTTGCCACCCCCATCCTTAGCAGGAAGACATGCAAGTATGAAGAACAATAGACTCTGCAGTTCAGCTGAATCGCTGCTTTCTTGGCACGGCTCTTCCACGTAGTCTTAACGTCAGAGGAGTGGATTATCACTGCAGCACCACTAACAAACACTAAGCTATTTCTCTGTGACTGACGTTGCAGGTAGTTCCTTTGTAGGGTGTTTTAGGATCTTGTTACTCTGTCTTGTTGGAATATTTCTGTAGATTGTGCGGTATGACTCCTCTGGCCTCCTGAAACAGCAGCAGAGGAATTCAGTCAGAAAAATGGGGGTCTGAACTCTTTGGGCCTCAGCTGGGAGCTGAAATGTTTCTAAGAATAACACAAGATTACATCCGGTATTCATGTCAATAACAATTAGGTCCACAAAGAAGCAGAGCAGGGAAGGAAGTGTGGGAAAATACCAGCATTGCTCATGTGCTGGAACACACGCGAGTGCAGAAGTGTCTCCCGTTGGGCTTTAGTTGCCATTGTAAAGGGATATTTTATGCCACGTTGCATCAGACTTTCAACAGCTGATGTAGGTTGGTTGCTTTCTATTGTTTCCTGGGCTTCTTCACACTCAATTATGGGAGTTGCTTGCTTGCCACAAGAATAGGACTGATCTATGCTGATGTGACACACTTAAGATTGTCTCTCTGGAAAACTTTCCTGCCCAACTGGATCGCCATGCAAGTTGACTTTGCGTTTCCAGATGTCTTGAAATCAGTTTTTGTCACCAAGCGACGTCACCAAGCGACGTGCCCCCAAAGTGTGTCCAGTCCCTTTCAATAGCAGTGATCTAGATGTGAAATGAAAAGGATATGTGAAGGGGCCAGGGGATGTGTGTAGGAGGAAGTGCAGTGGGTGTAAGGAGGCAGCGTGTTTTATATAGCATTGGAAGTCTAGTCACAGGAAGGAAGAATGGCCAATTGCACCACATGCTGCGTGCCTTCTGGCAAACATATGTCTGAGATGGACCTTCAGAAGATGTTTCCAAAGCAGTTCTTGGAGGGGGAGCATGAACCTTTTGAACAGAATTTTGGAATTCTTATTTGTTTCCTTGGGATCATGATTTCAAGGCTTCCATCCCTTTTTTTTTTCTATTTAAAAAAAAAAAAAGGATGGAAGCCTTGGGAAAAAAAAAAAAAAAAAGAGTTTTAAGGTCCTATGAATGAAGCCTGCTCTTTTCTCTTTCTGCCAGTGCCCTCCAGTCTCAAGAAAAGTACCTCTGCCAAACTACACAGGGCGAGGATCATTTTAGAAAGTTCAATAATTTTTTCCTAACTTCCCCACTCATATCCCCATTTTCTTCCCAGCTGAAGATGTAGCTAATGAAATAGCTGTTCTTGATAGGCAAAGGCGGTACCAAGACGAAAAGAAGAATGAGGTGACCATCAGGAGAGGCTAGAGAAGATCTCCTTGGGAATCCAAGGTGCAGTGTGTCCAAAAATTAAGAGCTGGGGTAAGAAGAGGCTAATTTCATTGAATTGGAACATGTTGCTAAAAATGGCTCACAACCCATAGAGCGATGTGGTGCCTCTTTGGTGTGAGGGCATTCCATGAATTTCAGCATTCCCTTGGGACTCTCAGGCTCCAGGGTTTATTTGCTTTATAGGGTTTTGGAGAAAGTAAAATTCTGATCATTTGCCAGGAGTAATTTTATCAAGAGTTCTTCTTAGGTCTGTCTTCTCTATAGGGCACTGCTTTCTGTGTGTGCAAATGCACTTACAACTTTGTCCTGCAATTTCGTTTTGTATCAGCAGTATCTCCAAGCTCTATGCAAGCTCGAACTGCAGCTCTCAGAGCTGAGCAAGAGAAGAAAGAGGCTGATGCTGGTTTGACAGAGGGCACTAGCAAAGGGTCACGGTAGGACAGCTGAGGTTGCTGTAGGCAAAAAGGACTTGCCACTGGTCCCATCTGGTGCTTGTGAGTGTATTGTGCAGATGAGCTTGGGAGTTACATGGAGTACTCTGAATCTTCGATCATTCTTTGAAAAGAAGCTCCAGAGGATGCTAGAGGATGTAGGAAAGTCTCTTAAGGTGTGAGAGCAGACTGGAGTGTCAGGGTTAGACGGGGAATCTTGGTGGGGAAGGAGGATATGTAGGGTATGTGTTTGGGAGGATTTCAGGGGAGTGGGAATGTGATGGGAGGTGCTGGGGATTGCACAGATGGTCTCGGGGGAGTGGGGCTGGCACGAGCCCAGGGCATGACTTGCTGAGAAAGGACTCTGGAAGGGATGTGTGGTCTCATGGCTCCTTGGGGTCACGGCAGAGAGGGAGGCAGCCTTGCCCCAATATCTGCAGAGGGTTGACTTTTTCTGGTCTATATATGATTGAGGTAGAGAGATTTTTTCTTGATTATCTTATTTTCAGATGCATTGTCTCATTTCATGAGTGCGTTCAGGTGTAACAAAAGCCCTTCTGCTTCATGAACATGAGCAGTAACGCCCCTCTCTCCCCCTCATCAATTCAGCTGTTTTGTGGGAAGGGTAAGCATGCTGTAACTGCTGTGATGCATTAAATCTGCATAATACTCTAGTGGTGTTTGGTAGGTTTAGCTGCCTAATAGTCAGTTCTCTCCTGATCTGTTCTAGGCATCAGGCTGCTCTGAGACCAAGGATCTTTGTCTTTCTAGCCCTGAGCTTTTGGCCTTCTTACAGTAAAGCACATCAAGAGTAACTAAAGTCACCCCAGTTCCTTGTTTGCATGAGAGGTGACTGAACCTAACAGATTGAGAATCCCCAAAAGGGGACAGTGTTCTGTGTAACTCCTTGTCTTATTTGTCTGCTGGGGCTCTTAACACAAGCATGCATTGAATTCAAGACTGGAACCTGTTGATCTGAGAACATCCTTTGCTTCCCTGGTTCTGTCCCAGGAGCTGGTATTCCTGCCCCCGTCCTGTGGAGCAGTTGTCTCTGTGGTCAGTGAGCCAAGACACTATGAACACCCTGCTGCACACGCTGTCACTAGGAAACACTTACTCTTTTAATTTAAATGTTTTATGAATATAGTTGTTGTTTTCCCTCTGTTTGTCAGTTACCAGTGGGAGGGGAGGGAAAGGGGTGGGAGAATCTGTGCATGCATATATATTTAAAGTGCATTGACCAAAGTTGTTTTTTTTTATTTGTTTTGAATCTGTGAAATTTTCATATCTGTGAAGTCATCAGACTGCTGGGCAGTGAGGAGCCACTGGTGCTGCTGAGTCTGTCTTGGTTACATTTCTTAATAAGCATTAAAATAATAAAATATATTTGTAAAAGAGAGTGTGAGTGTCTTTGTCCAAGGAAGATCCTGCTGGCTGACCCTGTTTTGTAAATATTTTTTTATCATTTTATTAGCTTTTTTCCATAGATCTGTCCCTGGCACTACCTGTTCTTTTGCTGAAGATGTTAACATCGACTCAGGTAACTGGAAGCCCCGCAACATCCCTGACATCCTGGGATCTGTCATCTTGGCAATAAAAGTTTACAGCTGCGTATGGAACATAAGGTAGAGCACTGTATTTGCCCAGAACACTGCAGCAGCAGAAACAAAGTGTTACGTAGTGGGATCTGGAGGAGATACCTGGAGCACACCACCTTGCCAGCTATTACTGGAGCATCTCAGCCCTTTGGCTCTCCTTCCACACATCAGACATCATTGTTACACCACCGCTACTTCATCCCTCTGTCCTGTCTGCCAATACTGCTCAGACTGAGCTAGCCCCAGCCTGATAGCCAAATTAGTCTGGAAATGGAGGCAGTGAATTTAAATGCTACTGTGGTGCCTCTCAGGCCAATGTTGACAGGAAGCAGCAGGAACAATTTCCAGCTTTCCACAGCTGGCAGCTACTAAATGTGTGTGGGGAGGTTAGTGAAAGTCTGTGTGACCCAGGAGCATTTGGAATGGGGAAGCGTTGAAAGTTCACCAGATAACCATCAGCTACTGGTCATTCCCTCTTTTGGTTCCCTTTGCAGCTGGGCTGGAGGCCTTGGTTCGTGGAGAGGTGCTGGTGCCCTGGTGCTCTGCAGCCAGCTGTGCCTGAGCTGTTCAACCAACTGTGTAATTGAAAAGCTTTTTCATTTTTTTTCCCCTCCTTTCACAAACACTGTGCGTTTTGTTCTGCAGCATCAAAGGCCAGGAGCTGGGAGGAACAATGGGTGTCTGCAGGAGCTGCAGGGGAACAATGGCCATACCTGGCCCAGGGAAGAAAGCGAGCACTTGGAAGAACAGAAAGAGCTCCTAGTTTAACTACACAATTGGCCTCATCTGGAAATCTAAGTTCAGAGATCTACACCTTGGCTTGGTCACCCAGAGAAACTTTGCAGGGCTTTTGTGGTTGCCTGAGCTGAGGGACAATACAGCTTGCTAGTGCAATATTTACTGCGGGAATGGGGAATTGATGCTTCTGAATGCTAAAGTAGGATGGAATAGTGGAGGATGGTGATTTTCCTGCAAATGGGTGGATAATCTTTTTTGGCTAAAAGGCTTTTTTCAGCATTTAAAGCAGCAGGATCTTCCTTGTCACTTCTGCCCCCAAACAGGAAGCTGTTGCTGCTAAGAATAGCACATACAAGTGCCTGCTGTGCTCGTAGTCATGTATTTCAAGGAGAAATTTGGATGAGTTAAAAGCTCTGAGGATCTTTTCTGTGGCCCTGTGGACCTCACAATTTACTTTCATAGGAGAGATTCCCAGTGTCTTGCATTTGACTGAAGTGACTGAGTGAGATTCCTCATGTATTCATTCAGGTCAGGGAGAGAGACTTCTGCCAGCTTGGATCCTGGGAGGAATCCCCCTCTGATCCCTGAAGTTAGATGAAGCGACTCACTGCAGGTTGGAGTCTCGCTGAATAGTAAGTGGAGCTGCATTCTTCCTACCTCCCTGTCCCTTCTTCAGTGCTGTTCTGAGGAAAAAAAAAAATAATTAAAAAAAATGGGATGGTGCTTGAATAACAGAGGTTCCCTCAGATATGACCCAGGGGATGGGACTGTTAGGTTTTGGGCTGGAAGGTGCACCACTCTTGTAAGCAGCATCATTGCTCTGCTGTGAGGCTGCAGCAGTCATCGGTGAGATTCTGCTGGGTGACAGTAAAATGCTACCCACATCTCAGAAAACCAGAGGTTCGTTTTGAAAAGTGGCATCCTTGCAGTGCATCAAACCAAATGACCTAAGCCAAGTCCGGGGCTGAGAGTAGCAGGGTGATTTCTCAGCAAGTGAAAGGCAAGGAGTTGGAAAAGAGGATTCAGTCTGCAGGTTCAGAGTAAACTGTGTAAAGATGAGGTTATTTGGAGTGCAAATCCATACTGTGTGGTCTGAGCTCAATACACTGAACTCCAAACCTGGGACTGTGTTCCTGGGAGTGTCCAGCTGCACTCCAGAGAGGTGCCTGCAAATTCTGCAGAGCCCTGGGCAGGCTTTAAACCGGCTGGTGTGGACACTGACAGCCCTGGAGCTGCAATCGCTCAGGCTTTGTTTACCAAGGATTTACCTGGAGCCCTAGGCAGCTCAGAATTTTTGTCTTACCTATTGCAAGGAGATTAGATAACACCTCAGAATGAGAGTGAAGAAAGTCCATGTGCACGCCGTATCATGCTGCCTCAGCTGTTGGTGAAGTCGTGGGGTCTTTGGGGTTAGTATTAGTCTGGGATATTACTTCTAAATGGGGGGTTAAGCATATCTTAGTTGGATGCTTCATGTTGCTGGCACACTTGCAGCTGCGTCATTTGGGCGTTTGGCATCATCCGGGCTGTGACAGTCTCAGGTGCCTGTGCTTTGGGGTTTCAAGGGGTTCAAGATTCTGGTGCAGTGTGGGGATCATGTCTAGAAGGGAGAGGGGGGGAAAAGGCCTAATAAAGAGAGAACTGAGCAGCCTGGATCAGTTCTATGAAGAATGCAAAACAAGCCTGGGCTATCTCAGGGTAAGCTGCACTCGTGGTGCCTCTTGAACCCATGTCCTGTTATTGTTGGTGTGGAACACGAGGGTCTGGGCCAATGAAAACAAGGAAGGCGGCTTGACAGACACAGATTTTATCTTTTGAGATTCGTCATGACCTTTCTAGTGTATAATAAATAAAGTTGACTCAGGAATTGGCAAGTGCCCTATAACATGCAGTCCTGGTGTCGGGACTCGGCAGAATGTTCTGCTTAGCAATGCACTCTGTTAGCTTTGTTTGCCAAGCTCCTATTTTGGAGGTGTGCTGAAGGGCTGAACAGTGGCAGATGCTGAAGCCTTCTGCAGGCAGGTGCACTGGACCCAGCATCTCTGGCCGTGCTGATCCAGGCTGGATGAAGGTCGTTTTGAATCCGTGCTGATACAACCTTTTGCTGCTGGGCCACAGAAGGAAAAGAAACGTCTTGCAAAGAACACTGCTTGCAGTGGGGTGAATCCTGAGGCAAGGAGGACTTCCATCATTCCACATTACTTTGTAACCCTTCAAGCATTTCAGTCGGCATTGAGAAGGATTGCTTCCTGTGGTAATGTCTTTAGAGCAGCCCTGCCATGCACACTGGGTCCTGTGATATTAAACATCTCCATCATTCAGAGGACGTGGCCAATTCTGCAGGTTGATGGGAATGGTAGGTCTGAGACTTGCCTGCTGCCCCGTGAATCCCTGCTGGGCCATCTCTGAACTGTGGCTGTGAGCAATCGGTCAGGTTTTGTGAGCTAGCCCTGGTGGCAGGGGCTGATACACAGTGCGCCTCTGAAGACAACTGGGATTCATTTGCTGCTGAACTGAAGCTGTTCTGTGATAGCAACATATCAGACTGTGAAGTTATTCTGCAGAGCCAAAATGCACTGGGAAGAAAGGGATGAATGTGTGTGTTCCCAGCTCCAGAGAGACCACGGGGGGAGAGCTGCAGTTAAATCACTGAAGATTATGGCTGTGTCAAATGCAGAGCCTCAGGAGGGGAGCACTCAGCCCTGGCACCGAGGTGCTGGGTGGGCTGCATGAGCACTCGGCACCTTAAAGTAAGGGACAACTGGTTGCTTCATTTCTGAGGTGCCTGCCATTTGGGAGCAGTCCAGTATTCCAAGTGTTTCCTGCCTTTCTTTATATTCATGCCAAAAGCACTAAGAGAAATAGGGTGGAGACAAAAAATCTCAGACCCTCCTCAAGATCATCCTTTAATTCCAGAAGGATCAAAATGCTAAAGGTTGCATTAGAAAAACAGAAATAGTCTTTTCTCCCACCATTGGTAACTCAATGCCACAACTAAAGCTGAGAGTCAGCTGCTTGTTCTACAGCTGTGTCCTTTCTGAATTCATGAGAAATAGCATTTTGATTTCCTTCCAGAGGAAATATACAGTAATACCCCGAACTTGCACTGAGGCCTTCCAGTCTGCAGAACTAACCCATGTAACGTTCATCTGCAACGGAATTAAACCCAAGATCCTCTTTTCCTTATGGATTGAAACACTGCTTGGGAATCGAGGCTTTTTGTAACAAATCTTTGCATCTCATTTTCTCTGAGCACTTGCTTCCCATGCCAGTTCCCTCCTGTCCTAAGTTCTCTATTTGCAGACAATCCTCCCTTTGCAGCATGCAAGACCCAGGCAGCACAAAAAGTTTAAGGTGTAGGGGCCGTCTATCCTTTTCCCATGGTTCAGCACTACCTGGACTTTCAAAATAATAATACAAAGAAGTGTAGCATCAATGTTCCTGTAGATTTTCACTTTATGTGAAAAATAAAGGCTGGGGGTGCTCTCTGCAGGCTACCACCCATCTCTGATTCCTTTGCAGGGGGATCTTTAGTTCAGCATTTGATCTGGAAGCACCATGTGGGACATGATCCTCCCAGGAAGAGTTCAATGCTTTCCTTCCCATCACAAATATGAGGCTGTGTTCTGGGGGGGTCAGGATGTCAGTGACATGGATGACACCGAACGCTGAAGCCTGCATGTGAATTAGGTCTTGGAAGAGGCTGCGCTCCGTCTGCTGCACGGACACGTTCGCACTCTCTGAAGGGAGGTCCTCGTGCACGTAGCCATGTGTTTGGTGTTTTCCAGGTGGCTGTGTTCTCTCTGTGCCGGATGTATGCCAGTGCTGTAAAACGCGTGTCCCTCTTCTGCTTCCTCGAGAGATGCATCTGCTGGTGTCAGCTTCCAGGTAGGACCCACAGGAACCTGCTCTCTTTCAGTGTCTGTGGCCTTTGCCCTCTCCTGGTAGTCAGGCATCCTAAGGAAACCAGAAGTGACCTAAGGCTGTTTTTGCTGAGCCTTGGTCACTGCTGCAGATGGAGAAGTAATGGCAGTTTTCCAGCAGGTGAGACCCTCCAGGCCAGCTAGCCAGACAAGAAAAATAAACACAGGAAATAGCATCCATGCAGTAAGATAACAGAGAGACGAGAGGCTGGGAGGGCTTTCTGCTCTGTGTCAGGGGACACGCAGAGCTTGGAGCTCTCTACCAGGAGCAAGTAAATGTCAGGCCTTAACATGAAGGAAGGAATTATGGTTTGGGCGGAGAGGAAAGGAGAGAAAAGGAGTTTGTGCTTTGGTCAGGTAGAGCAGTGGTTGCCCTCTAGCACGGGGTCTGTGGAACAGAGATCTTGGGCCTAGGAGTGGGGTGAGTTAGTGCTTGCTCAGGGCAGGGGCTGATCAGTCTCCACCTGGATGTTCCTCTTGTATTTCTGTCCCAAAAGCACTTCTGAGGGTCGCTGTTGGTGGACACTGTTGGTCTCACCTGTGAAACCCATTCCCTAAGCTCCTCCTGTTAGCTTCTTCTGTGCCCCGTTCCCGCAGATCCTGGGGGTTTCTCGGAGCTTTATCCCTGGTGGTTCGGCTGGGTAGGTGGTGTGGTGAGGCATCTGCTGGCTCCATCCTGCACTCAGCAAGATGGAGAAGCCACCTGTGGTGCCCAAAATAGCCTCTGCCTGGGCAATCCAATCCAAATGGTGTTGATAGTGGTGGGGGATTCCCATGCCTCATAAAGAGGCTTTTGTTGGAAGGATCTAAGCTGCGCTCCAGGCCTTGCCAGCTGTGGAGAGGAGCAGATGGATCTGCAGTATAAAAATAGATTGAAACAGGCTTGTTCTGCCTCCTTTCTTCACCCATACAGTCCCAGAGGTGCCTGGTCATCTGAACCAGAGCGGGGAACTGGGTGCTTTGCAGCTGCCAGTCTGCCTGGAGCCCTTTAGCTATTGTCAGAGACAGGAATTTCTCTCTCTTCAGTCCCATTCCCCCTACAGCTGCCGTGTGGACAATCTTGTTTGCACACAGCTGCTGGCAGTGTGTCACATCCCATTTCCCTGGGGCAGTGCAGGCAGGAGAGTGGGGCGTTTGTGAGACGCTGTGTTCCCAAACTCTGCCATTCCTTGCCATGAGTCTGGCTGTGTCTTCTGAGTGAGATCTCTGTACAGCACCTGAGGAAATACCTTGAGGTCATGTCAGTGTGTCATGGGCAGAGGTTTCAACTGGCTGATGAGTAAATTTTGCAGATCTGCATGTTGCACATGGAAACTTCACTTTTTTTTTTTTTGAACCCTAGCTACAGAAAGAACATTTTGGAGCTCTATGATCTTCACTGCTGCTCCAGGTGACTTATTTGCTGTAAGTTCACACCAAGGCTCTGTAGCTAAAACATCCTTCAAGAGCATCTGAGGCTCACTGAACTTAGTCGCCATCCCTGGTCTCCCAACCCTGAATTCTGTAGAATATGATGATGTTGGTGCACAAAAGGAATCTGAAGCTGCATCAGTATTCAGAACAGACTGGATCTGGTCCCTCTGTGTTGTGCCTGCAGAGCACTGCCAGCCCTTCAGTCCTGAAGGTGCGTGCTTGTATTCAACCTCCTCACCTGCTTCTCGCTTGGCATCCCCACTCCATCCCCTCCTGCTAACTGAATAAGGATCACATGGATATTTCCTGGATGAGCTTTTGTAACGCACTAATTTGATACACTCAGGGCATCTTCCTGTAATGAACGTTCCTGAGGTAATTGAAGGTGAGGTTGCATGGGTGAGGGGGAGAAGAGGGCAGGACTGCTGGCAGAGGTAATTGGAGGAATAGAAGAAAACCCTTTTGTTCCTGTAAATCCTGAATTTGTTGTGTCTCTGCACTCCCTGTCTACCCAGCTTCTACTTGCGCCATGTCTTGAAGGTGGCTCCACTCTTCTTATCCTCTTTTTCTTTTTTTTTTTTTTTTAGGGTATTTTTTTCCATTTCAGCTCATGCATCTGTTCTGCTGCTTTGTTCTTTCGGCTTTTCATTTCTTTGCTTGTTTCTTCCCCTCTATGTTCTCCTGCTTCCTGAAAAGCTGATTGCTGCAGTGTATGAAGGAGAGGCACTGGCCATACCTGTCTGCACCAGCACCCTGTTACATTCATAGAATCACAGAACGACTTGGGTTGGAAGGGACCTTAAAACCCATCTAGTTCCAAACCCTGCCATGGACAGGGATGTTGCCCACTAGATAGGTTACTCAGGGTCTTGTTCAACTTTTTGGAATATTCCAGCTGATTCTCTCTGTCTTTGAGGAGATATAGGAGCAAGAAGGGAAGAGGGAACAGAACAGCACCACTGGGAGAAACCAGATCAGAGACTGAGAAGCTGGGCGAAGAGGGGGTGTGGAGGCAGGCAGGGCCATCCCGAGAAGTTTCCAAGAGGCAGCAGAGCATGGCTGTAGAGGTAACTGCTCCTTTGCTTGACATATTGTTCCTTCCTGCCCTCTTCTTTCTTCCTTTTCACCTCAAAATTACATCTTGAAAGACGTAAAGAAAAAAAATACCAGCTTTAAAGCACTTGTCAGCCCTTGCTGGCGGGCTCTCCATGCCACAGCAACTCCAGTGCCCCCGTGGTGCCATATTCTGCTGTGTCCAGGACTCCCACCAGCTGCCCTCCCCATGCTCCCTTCCAGCTGCCCACTGGTGCAGCTGTGTCTGTCCCACCAGCACACACCAGTCTCAGTGGATCCTTGTTCCCAAAAATCAGGGTCAAGTCAGCTCAGAAGGTGGCTTCCTCCTAGCTTTCCAGGTGCTACCACACCTTAAATGTTCAGTACACCCACTTTTCCTTTACATATACAGCTCGTTTTAGCCAAAGGAAGAGGCAGCACATTGGTCAAGTGGAGGGAGTGCCACCGGCCTGGCTCCTCTGACAGTTTTTGTGTGGAACTGCTCTCCTCAGACACAGACCTGTGCTCAGTAGGTGCCGGGAGCCAGGAAGCAGCAGCAGCAGCACCAAGCCTTTCCACTTATTTGCAGAATTTCCTTCTGCTTGCTGGGGGAGCAGAGAAGGGCTGTCCAAAGGGCTCGTTTTCTTCTAAGCAAGGTTGCTGGACTTGCAGACTAGAAGCCATTGCTCTAGTGTTGGAAGCACGTGGTAGGGGACAGATAACTTCTGGGGACAGGGTTTCTCCTCACAGATCTAGAAGCTCTGGGCTGCCAGAACCACAGACACCGTGCTACCAGCGATGTGCCAGCGAACAGACTAGGAAGCATCTGCCGTGCCTTTCAGTAGCGCAAGCTTGACATTTCACCCCTGCCTGTTTCTTTCTTTAGCTCCTTAACATTTGGTATTTACAGCGATGTTTCGGTTACTAACTCGATTGGAATCAGCTCCCACAACGCCCATCTCATCTCCAGTGATTGTCCAGAGAGGTCTCCCAGGCTCGCGGGGAGCTCGGTGTCACACCCACGGGCAACAGATGGGAGGCTGTCACAGGACAGAGGTGGGAGGCAGCCGCCTTCGGGATTATCCAGCAGCATAGCAGAAAAAGTAAGACCAAAACTGGCAGCCCCAGGGCCCAGTCCAGGCCTCTCTCCTGTCTCTGCATCCCTAGTGAAACTCCAGATTCAAACCAGAATGTGGACTAAGCTGTTTTGATAGCTGTTTCCTACCTGTGCCTGATGGTATGGGCTGTTAACGGCCAGGCTGTACAGCTGGGGAAACAACTTCCAAAATGTGGCCCTTCTTAAGCCCCAGATTTGGGCATGTAACTTGGTGTAAGAATTCTGCAGTGTTTGTATTTGCTGAGAGTCATTTCTAACTTCTCTTTGGTTGTAGGACTTCTGACAGGTTTAGGTCCGATACTTGAGCTGCAGGACAGAGAGCAGAGAGAGCTCCCTCTGCTGTCTGTGGGCTTTCAGGTTCCCAACTAATTTGGTCCCCACTATCGATGGAAGTCCCCGAGCAACAAAGAAGTTAAAAGGTGCTCGTGAAGAGATGACATCATCTGAGCCAACAAAGCCACAAGCAAAAGATCTGATAAGCTATCTAACATGCAGAAAGCTTTGAAAGTGCATAGTCCCACTCAGATCAAATGTTCTGACAGGGTGGAGATGACATCGGAAGCTGTTCAGTCTATAGATAACTCTGTAAAGGACCTATATCAGACGTTTTTGTTGCTGATAATACGCAAGGCCCGATGCATCTCACAACACCTGTGAGTAGCTCTGCTGGCTTCTGTGGCACTGTGGTCGCAGCCTGTATGTGACTGTGACTTCAGGTTAGGACCCAGCCAAATAAACCATCAGGAAGGGGTGAATGTTGCCATTTTGGTGCTCAGCAGAGGATAGACTAGACAGGGCAGGGAAACTCATGCAAGATGTCCACCCTGATTAGGTTATACCTGTGCTGCGTCATCCTGTGAGGCGAATGGAATGATGAAGTAAAATCCTGCTCAGTCTGGGGCAGGAAGCTCAGGCCTGTAAAGCAGCTTGTTGTGCTGATTTCCTGGTCATTCGCTTCAGGCAGGTTTCCTCACTCTTAAATGAAACAATGGGGACTTGATTGTCTTCACCAGGATGCTCCTTGCTGAGGTGATTTTACCCGACTTGACATAAAGTCTAAAGCTCTTGGGAGGTGCTAAGAAGTCAGGTGGTGGGGCAACCATAAAGGATTTTTCAAAGCAACCATGCAACCTAAGAGCAAAAGTGCCCCTAAATAATCCAGTCATACTCTGAATGTTGGGCTTAGTAAGGTTACTAGTCTGGGTCCTTATTTGTTCTGGTGTAGACTGAAAATGTTCTGGCTAGTTGAACGGGACAGTGTCCTGCCAGAACACACACAACAGGGCACTTCGTGTTTGTGAGGTCTCCTTTTTCTCTTGTAGGCTTGTGCCTATCATTTGCTTTCTAATTTTTTCCCCCAGCTCTCCCTGTGTGTAGGACACGATGTTGGAATTGTGAAGAAGACATTTCTGTGTTTCTCAGCTGTAGCATAATCAATCCTTTGTTATGGTATTTCAGCTAGGTGCCCCTGAAGGGTGAGGAGCTCTGGTCAGGAGCAACAGGACTTTCTTGCTCTGACTGTTCGCTGGCCTGCCGACTCATAGAAGTGCTATTTTTTTTTCCACCTCGGTTAAACTGCTAGCGTGTCCCAGCACGCATGAGATATGAAGGCTCAATAAACCCAGAGGGCTCATTGTTAAATGGTAAGTCCTCCCGAGGGACCTGACATTAGATGGTTTTCAGTGCTTCTCTCTGTTGTTTGTCATAAGATGGACAGTGAGGTGATGTGGCAGAACCCTCTGTAGCATGGCTGGAAATCACAGTGCTGTGGTTCTCTGTAAAGGCCCAAGAACAGCCGCTGCGCTGCTTCCTGTGTCTGATTGATGCCGAACCATCAAAAATATGTTTTCTGTGGGTTAAACTGAACTCTCTGCGTACAAGAAAGGAAATGATCTTCTTAAATATTTCTTTTGCTGCTGAGTCCAGCCCTTGCTTTGCTAGCAGCTGCATGTATTGAACAAACCAAAAGAGAATACAGTGTAAAAAAAAAAAAAAAAAAAAAAAAAAAAAAAAGAAGAAGAAGACAAATGAATAAGAGAAAAAAACAAGCACCAGTTTGACAATGTGTTTGACTTTATCCAGACCATATGGAAGCTGTGAATTTTGAGCAGGCAGCTGAGAGACTAAATAGCAGTCATTTCAGAGTCATTTCAGAAGTTTTCTTGGAGTATGGAAGTAACTGAGGACATACTTATAGGGCAAGTGTACATGGTGAGGGAATTTCCATCGCTGGCAAATCAGACACAGGAGGTAAGATTGGGATGAGAAGGTCTAAACAAGGAAGAGTTTTATTGCCTGGGACATGACTGTTTTGTCTAATGCATAAGGAGATGGAAAGGTGAAGAAAGGCCACAGGCATACTTAATTGTTTGCCCGATTATAGCCATTGTTTGGTGCAGGCAGCAATACACCGTGCATGTTGCATTCATCCATCTTTGTGATAGCTGGGTTAAGTTGCACAATCATTATGAATAGCATTTGAAGGCATACCCTAATTGCTACTCCCAGCCCCTGCCCACTAATCTGTGGCTCCAGGGTCTGAGCTTTAACATTTTGAAATTCTGGCCATTCAGATATTTTTAAAAGAGACCAAATAATGCTGCTGCTTCTTTTACCTTTTTATTCCATCATTTTGCTAAATCATTGTGTTGCAAGTAAATGTTCTAATACTGGTAATTCAAGATCTTGTGATTCAACATGACTAGAGAATAGTTCTTTGTATCTAAGAAGGGAGGAATCCTTCCACTAGGATTGTGCTTCTAGCCTTGGGGAGAGCTGCTGAACCAAAAACTCCAGCTTTGTGTACACAAAGCTTTCCAGGTAGTTTAGTAGTGGCTTCTAAAGAGGGCTTGCTTACAGTGGAAAATTACGCTGTTAGAAGGAAGCTCTGGAGAACTGCAATAGTTAACATGAAATTAAGCACATAATGTGAAGGAGAAGAAAAGAGCCCGAACCCAGCAGATGTGACAGTATATTGTATTTTTGTACAAGGAATGTGAGGGCCAAGTGAATCTCGTAAGTGTTGTTCCTCAGGACCACAGTTGAACTTGACGCTGTTTTGCAATGCTATGCAGCCCTTTGATATAATTGCTTCTTCTCTCCCAAAGCCCGAACATCTGGATTTATAGTGACAAAAGCAATCCAGTGAGGAAGGAAATGAAAAATGGCACCCCTGTGTATTAGCAAAGAGGCTGGGCATGGTCTGAGTCACAGCACATTGTGAGAGACATTCTGGCATCCCATAACAACTGTCCCGTCCCACAATAACATCACCAGCGCTGCTCTCCTCTGCTGGGAACTGCCGGCCTCTGTGACTGCTCCTTAACATAAACATCTTTAAAAACCCCTCTGCCATCATCTGTAAATGATCCACCAATCGCTCAATGCAAACTACTGGTATTAACCTCTTACACTCTGTCCTACTATCAGTTTATTAATTAATTTTCTATGCCTTAGGTGCACATCTGGTAATTTTTACCTACCACTGCACAACTCTGGGGAGAACATACAGCCTGTAAAAAAAAAAAAAAAAGTACTTAGAGGGGGATGCAGGAGCAGCAGAGCTAGCTACTGTCTGCCTGGGACACTTCTGGGTTTTGGTGCCTCCTGCAGGAGCCATATGGACCCTACTTGCATGTCTTCACCTCTGCTTGAAGCGTACTTGAAGTGATAGTATTCTTCTGGGTCAGGGTGAGGAGGGTAAGATGGATGGGTAGGTAAGTGTATATGTGCCCTTTGATTTTCTGATTAACACAGGAGAAGGGGGCTGTGTTAGAGGAGCTTCACGGGACACAACCTGTCTTGATGGCATTTTTGTTCTGTTTATTTATTTATTTATTTATTTCTGGAGCTGAGCTGATGCTGGTGGTTATGCTGGGACCCAGGAGTAAATGAGCTGTGTCAACATGTTCATGAATGATTGCTTGCTGTTTTCCATGGAGCAAAAGATGTAAAAGGTGAGTAAGTGGGTAGTAAAACAAGGGTACGAAGCTTTTGCAGGTTCTGAAGCTTCTGCTATGTAGACTGAATCAAGTATAGTGTGTGCTGGGAGAAGATCTATTGTAGCATTTCCTTTTGTCAAGTAGTGCCTTTTTTCTGCCACCACCAAATAAGAAAAAAAAAGTCTCCTTTATTGTCAACAAATACTAATAGCCTCTCTGATCGGTTAAGTTGGATTTGGTAAGGAAGCTCTGGGTTAGTGTTTTATGGGACAATGTGCTTTCTCATCTCTCCATCTGTGCATGCTGCAGTTATCCAGCACACACCTCTGCCACACTCACTCATTCTCTGTGCTCCTTTTTTCCCTTGTGGGTGGACCACATCTTGCAGATGACTTGTCTGGGGAATATAAGTTACATTTCTCTCCTGTTTATGTGACTCTGGGGATGTTCATTTCTTCACCGGTTATTTCTGAGATCCTGTGGAAAGGTAGCATGAGGTGGAAAACTCCAAGCATGCAGATGAAAAGGGCTATGTATTGTTTAATAATAATAACAATAAACATTTATTTCTGGGTTGTTAATTAGAGAAAGGATACTTGTTCAGGGTCTTTCTTGCCCAGAGCTACATCTTGGAGAGGAGAGAAGGAAGAGCAAGTAATCATGCCATCAGCCAATGATTTTAAGTGTTCTGTCAGGAGATCCCATGTTTATTTGATATGGGCTCATTTATGTGTTGATTGGTTGCCTCTGTCCCCATTAGTGGTGCTTGCTCTCCTTTTCCTCTCTACACTCTCAGCACCTTCTGCCCCTATCAAGCTTTAAATGGCATCTTTTGACTTTGAATTTTTGACTTTTTGAATTTTTGACTGTCCTTGCTGACAATAGCTGCTTTAGCTTGTGCAGAGGTTGGGAAGGCTCCTCAGGCAAGGAATGTTCAGTCCTTGGGGTCATGGAAACCAGCCAGGAATTTCTGCTCTTCCATTCCCAGGGGCATGAAGAGCCTGCAGAGGAAAAATGAAGGTGACCATTTCCTTGGCTGAAATGTCATTGACCTGAATTTGAGATGTTTTTCAAGACATTTTAAGATGGAGAGAGCAGTTTTGGAAATGGCGGATATCTCAGTGGACAAGAGGTGATGGTTTCAAATGGCAGTCCTACAATACAATACAGGAAATTGTTATTTGAAAAAAGAAATCATAAGACAGTGTCTTTTTCAAGACTTCAGAGCTTTTTTTGTTGCTGTTCTCCACTTGTTATATGTGTGTGGCTTGTTCAGTGAGAGAGCTGGATATTAAATGGCCAGATACCATTTCTTGCATGTATGAATACAAAGTGTTAGGATGGGCTAAAAGTTAGGTATACACCATATGATCACCGAGAATAGTGTATTGTTATGAAGGGTAGAGGAGGTGAGAGTGGGACTAGAGTTGTCTCTTTTCTATAAGACTGATATCTTAACAGCTCTCATGGGAGGAAGGACATGTTCAACCTAATAGGATAATGGAATAATATGTTGAACATATCAGCTTTGACACAGACCAGCTGGTGGCTGTAGACACAAATAACATAAGGAAAACAAATTTTGAAATGTTTGAGGAAACAGCTATATGCATGCAGTGCACTGTGTGGGGGGTGCCTTTTGCGTATGAAAAAAAAGATGAAAGCTTCTCTCTTTGGCTGTGGGAGGATTGTCTCACTCATTCCTGGAAAGGACTAAATTCCATCCTTAATGATAGTTGGGGCTATAAACTTAGCATGGTTTTCTCCTTTGGACCTACAGAACTCTGCACTGTGAGGTTGGACCAAAGGTCCTGTGTAGCATCTAGTTAGTAAGCAAAAAAATAATAAAAAATAAAAATAAAAACCAAAAGCAAACAATAAACTCTTCTACAGTTATTGCTGGAAATTTTCTCAGAAATTACTGGTACAGCTATTGCTCAGCAGGAAAATTATCTCCACCACTAAGTCCTCCGCAATCTCTTCCTCTCCTTTCTGCTTCCATTAGTCTTTGTGTTTCTAATCTATCTTGTCTTCTCTCTATGACTAGTTTCAATTCCAGTCTCCCTAGACTGATGTCCAGCAATTAAATGGACTTTTTATTTCTGTCTTTCCTTCATAAAGCTGCTGTCTGAGTTTTGGAGCTCAGCGAGATAACTAGGTGGAAGGTAATTACTCAGAGCTTTGATTTCATGTTCTCTCCAGACTTCAGCAGATGCTATTTCAGCTGCTCTGTTCTATTCATAAGCGGATTATTTCCTTTGAAACTGCAAAAGACAGAAATGCACTTCTATTTCTAAATTAAAGCTCAGATCCTGAACTTTTCACACATCAGGCAAACCACAGCTAGTTGGTGGACGAATGCATAACCATATAGGTAGTATGGCTAGAAGTAACGCGGCATGAAAATCACTATCAGTGATGCAGCTGCTAAAGAGCCTTTTGAAGGATGCTGAAGATGCCTTGATGTGTTGAAGAGGCCAGTCAATCCTACCCTTAGTCACTGCAGATTCTCTCTTTCTCTCATTATTTTTAATACGTTTTTTAGCTCGTGCCATTACAAGTCAGCAAGCGTTTGTATGGGCTCAAGATGAAGCATAGTGGGATGTGCTACACTCTTCATAAAAGCAGCTTCCTTCTTCCGTATTTGCCAGCAGCATGTCAGTAGCAAGTCTTGCTTTCTTTTGCAAGAATGGCTTTGGTAAAAGGTACACTAATGAGATATACTCCATTGAAGAGTTATTTCTGGCACCGACAGAGCTGGAAGGAAGTCAGCATTACACACACACACTCTTTGGCCTGGGAAGGTCTGAGAACCCTTTAAGTACTTGGCTCAGAAATGGTTCTCTTCCTTTTATCTAGGAGATTTTTGCTTTCCTGTTAAGTTAATTAAGCTTCTGTTTTGTCTTCCTCATGCCCTTTTGCCAACATCTAGCTTTTTCATGAAGACGCTAGTTCAATAACCATCATTTATAGTGTCAAGCTTAGGTTACTACTGTTTGTCTGCCAAGTGCAGCTGCAACTGTCTGCCCGATTTCACATGTTGCTGTAAGCCAGAGATACTGGCCTTCACTA